TATTATTATTAATGCAGAGGAAATCTCTATAATCTCTATATATCCATGCAAGGTGGTGAAAACAATTATAGAAATTTTTTACACTGTGTTACGCTTGTTTAATTTCCGGTATCATCATTTTTAGGTCAATTTGTACAAAATGATACTGTAGTACCTAAAACTTTTGTTTGGGGACAACGTCAGGTTCTTGACTGTACTGGCTATGAGAGTGGAAATTATCACAGTGGCTATAAAGTTGCATGGTTGCTAGATAACCGTCAAAGATGTATTGAAGACTCTGCCTGTGAAAATAACTTCAACATAATCGACAATAATTTCAGTTTAAGTTTTGATTACTATCCAACTTTCACCACCTATCAATGTAAAATTGAGTCAGATGTGGATGAGTCATTAATGTCTGTCACAGTAGCATTCTACACATTAAGTCCTTCATATAATAATCACAGTAAGTCTCATTAGTAACCTTAACAATTATTCATTATTATTATTATTATGATTCTCTTCTTTTATAGCTCAAACTAAATTTATCGAAAACCTGAAGCCAGTTCTAGTCAAGAATGGCACGAATAAAGTTAAATTCTCTTGCTCTGCTTCAGTACAAAACAATGCTAGCATCAATTTTGAAGCATCTGAAATGTTTGGAAATGAGCTTATCAGCCCTGCTGAATGTGATGTAATCACTAACAACCCAACCGTTCGTTCATGTAATAAGAGATTACATGGCATGAATGTCATGATAATGTGTAACTATTCTACCAGCTACGAGATCCATTGTACTTTCTCATGGAATTTAACAAACAGCAATGAAAGTAGAGTCTATCCAGTTGCTTGCCATGTCAATGATGGTACAACTGAGGCTAGTATAAGAACAGAACTCATTGTCAGAGGTAAGATCTAATAATCATGATAATTTACAACTAAAATTTACTAATGTATCCCTACATGTACATATAACATGATTTATAGTAGTTGCATGTACAGGTAGATTAGCATGTATGAGTATATGACCTGTATGTACATGTATCATGTTATTGAATCTGTGATAATGTTGAAAGTGAGTCTGAATATCTGTGTATGTTAATGGTGTGAGTCAACAAATCTATAAGAATTTTTGTGAGTTAGGGAGATTTTTTTATACTATAACCAAAGCTCACTCTAATTCAAAAAGC